TTATTTCAATACAAATTTTAAAAATAAGCTATATATATATTTTTAAAAGGAGGAGGAGGAGGAGGAGAAGTCAAGTAGGGAGGGCTGCAAGCCCTTGCTGCCGTCGCCATACCATCGCTGGGAGGGGCCAATTTGACAAATTTTAGGATTTTATTACACTTTTTGCAAGTTTTATGACTTAATTGCACTTTCGTGATAAATTTTAGGACTTTCGGTAAACAAATCCATTTTTTTTAATATACGTCCTTCCTTTTCTCATATAAGTGGGAAGAAGAACTCTTTAGTTTTGCGAAAAGTTTATTTCCAAAATAAATCTATTGGTATGGAATCATCAATTAGTAGATATGCCCTCGTTTTTGGTATCGAATTGAGCAAATAAAGTGGCAAACATAGTAACACGCAATGTCTTTATTTTCCTAGGTTTGAAAAGTCGAACAATTCCACGAATAAATGAGAAGGCGTCCACGCATGCTTGATTCCTAAAAAGTGGAGGAATTCAAATTTAGAAGGTTTCACTTTCACATAATCGAATACAGCTCAGTTCGGCGTGCACTATAATTGAAAGTGGTCGATTTTCGTGAATAAAATAAAAAATAGTGGGTATATTCCCACTTGCAATATTTTAAAGATAAATGGCTAATTCATACTATTATGTAATATAAAGAGGACCTTCTAATTTTAGGGGATTTCAATCGATTCTTTTCTTCCAAAATGTCCGTAATTACTTATTTTACAAATATCGAACCCCCCTTTAATAAAAGTTCAAGTTAATAATTCTACGTAATCTCTCACGCATTTTAATATCGAAATTTAATTTCTTTTTCTATCCGACGATAATCTTCCTGAAAAGACTTCCAATCTTGAAATATTTTATACCTTTCCACGCATATTATCATATATTTCCTTCATCCCAAATGTTTATTAATAAAATATCTTTACTTAATCTTTCAAATATTGTTTTTTTTTGTGTGCATGTTTGCTAATTTATATTTTTAAATGAAGAGGTAGTGGTGGTGCTCGTCTATGCTTCTTTTGGGTTGGTGGGGGGGTCGAATCTACAACTGGAAAATTATAGATTTTGTGGTGTGAAATGGAAGATTTTTTTTTTGGGTCTTTGGACGGCTCACGAGTGATTGGAATGTGATTTTGAGTGGCTAAAAAGGTTTTGAACTTATTACTTTCTTCCGGAAGAGGGGCATAAAAAGGTGGGGTGGGTTCTATCCTTTACCCGTTCGGCGGGGAAGGAATTAGAGGTCCGTAGTGGCTGTTCCATGCTTGCTTCACATAGGTTGTGTAGATCTTTCCATGTCACTTTAAATTTTTGTTGGGTAGGTACCTCGCGAGGGTAGAGAAAAGAATATACCGATATTTTCGTTCGGCGAGAAAAGAAATTTACCCAAGTGCCATGTGACGAACGGATGTACCGGTATTTTCGTAAGTCGAGGAAAGAAATTTCCCCTGCCATAAAATGCCGAGAAGATTTTTCTTGTAATGTCAACATCTATATCCCCACCTCAAATATATTGGGTTCCTAGAAGGCACATTTGCCTTGATCGTCATTTTAACGACAGGCGGTATAGGTAAGGCTGAGATGAGGCTCGCCACGACAGACGGCCGGTCCGGCCATTGTTAAGAGTTGACTGAAGAACCCCAATGTACAGGAGTCTTGCACAGAAACGACATTAAGCTTTAAGAGAGAGGTTAGGGTTTTTCGAAGAGAGGCTGGCTGTGGTGATGGCGAATGGCCGACGATGGTAGTGTGGTGGTGTGATGGAGGGTCTTTTATCTCGCCTCCGTTGCCTGCATTTTTTCTCCTCTTTTTGCAAGAGTGAGTTTGGTTTTCGTTAATTGAAGTTGCCATGTCATCAACCACATCGACATAATTAAATATGCTTATGACTGAAGGACTCCATCACACAAATCTTATAAGTTCGATGACTCGGATTGAACAAACTCAAATTTCTTAAAACCGCAAGTAAAATTTCTATATATGGAGTGGACCATCCCTATAATAGAACAAAACTTGCTGGAAAATGGTCTCACTCGTTCTCTTACTGTTCGAACCGACGAACAAGTTAACTCGTCCAACTCATCATTGCAAGGAGAAGTCTTTTAATAAATTACCGATTAAATTTACTACGAGGAATGGCTCAAAGCCAAAAGAATTGTACAAATTTGCAAATGAGTACTGAAGTTTGTATCAGTGAGAAGGGCTACGAGATCTACTTCATGCCGCCATTGAAGCTCCTAATCTTTTCCCAAAAATCACCACCAAGTATACACAAGTTCCAGTAGTAGCTATGATGGAAACCCCCACATAAACGCAAATTGTTGCAGCGGCGAAGGGGTGTGCAAAAAAGCCGGAACCGCCTCGGCCGCCCAGAATTGAATCAGACCAAACCAGTCCAGAACCGGCGGTTCCCATAGAGACCGGTTCAATTTCCGGCTCTAGTAACCAGAATTGGTGAGCATCCGTCCAGTTCTAGGTGTGGAACCGCTCATCCGGACAGGATCGGTACATATATATATATATAATTTTTTTAAATTTTAGGTTTTTAGATCAAAACCTTAGTTTCCTCTATGTCTCTCTCCGTCTCTTGGCTCGCTCATCTCGCGGCCTCGCCTCCCTCTCTCACTCTTGATGGCCTTTGGCCTCGTCGATCCATCTTTTACTCTCGCTCTTGATCGCCTTTGGCCTCGTCGCTCCCTCTATCACTCTCCCTCTTGATCGCTAGAGAAAACAGGGCAGCAGCTCTGAACCGACAACCACATTGGTTAGTTTGGCAGCAAGAACGATGACACCCGGATAGTGAAGACCACCGACTTTGACCAAGAAATAGATAGCAAAGATCACGGGCAGTGAGTAGCGGTAAATAAACTTTAGGAACTGTGAAGGAAAAACCAGCAGCGAAAAATGACCAATAGGAGCGTCTAGCAGCAGGCTATAGATTCGCCGCTGAATCAGCGTTGTATGGAGGCGGTGGTGTGGGCGACAAGAGACAGCAAAGTGCATTGAAGAATTAGCAGCTTCGTCGATGGAGATCTCGGCAAAGTTTGGGATGGGGCCGCTGCTTTGTGGCTCAGCAAAGCACACGGCTGGCTTGAAGTCGTCACGGCAAAAGGATGGCGTCGTCAATGAGGCGACGGCGGGGTGGTGCTCGGCCACGTGAGGTCTCGACAAAGCTGGAGCTCGTCGAGGGCAAGTGGGCACGGCGGTGCAGGGATCGTGGAAACCACTGAATGAATTCGTTGGGGACATTTCGACCGGTGGTCTGATTCTCGGATGAATCAATGGAACCAATAGGCAGTTGCCGGTTCTCATTTTTCGGAGCCAGTCCTTAGCGGACAGTTTCGAGATGGGAATTGCCTGCCTTGGAACCGATTACCCCTAATGCAAATTGGAATGGAAATTGGAAAATATTCATTAAAATAAATTCAGAAATGCATTACTTCTTTTGGGGTTTATTTTTTCATTTAATTTTTTTTTTCAAAATAAATTCTAAAGAGATATATTCAAATTTGGTTTATGAAGAGACTATATTTCATATTGTGTAAAAAGGTCAAGTAATAAAATTAGATGCTAATTTAGATGTATTTCTTAAATATAAAATCTCACACGACTCATTAATAGAATTTAAGGTTTTCTATAGGACCTCCAGCATAAGGCCCATATGGCAAAACATTTAAGCAAAAGAACGACTTAGAAAAGAAAATTATCAAATTTTAAAGCACTTTGTATGCACAAACTCACAGATATAATGTGATCACTTATCATATGTATCATTCATTATGTTGAAAATGAAAATGATTCATGAGTATGATATATTTATGGGTGTTGACATGTAGTATGCGTTATAAGATATATAAAAGTAAAATAAGCGGCTAAAGTTGAGTCCATATGTTGTTACAATAATTACATTTCTTTCATTAGAAAGAAAAAGAGAGAGAGAACATCAACAAGAATAATTGAACTTGTATTAATCTGGTGTTTTAATCAGGTTGATTAAATATCTAAAAAGTGAAGATAAGGAGGATCTTCATACAAATTCTTAAATCCAGGTATAAGAAAGATTTGTTTCACATTCTTAACCTATTAAAATTAAAATGTTATAAGCCGTTTGATGGAATTTTCAAAATACTAAACAAAGACTTAGAGAAAGTAAAATTTATAAGTAGAAACTTCATAAATTCATGAAAAAAAAAGAAAAAAATAATAGTAGAAGTCGAGGCTTTTTCTATAATATGCTTGGCCAGCTTGAGTTTTTCTCACTTTCCTTTTTCTTTGATTTTGGATGAAACAAGTATATTTTTGTGATTCTAAATAAAATTATTTGGAGCGGAGGGAGAGAGAGGATGTTTACTTTGTGATTTTAATTAATAAAGCGATAATGACACAAATGGTTCCCGAATTTTGGCCGAATATATGGTCCCTGAACTTTTAATTTATTCAATGTGGTCATTAACTCTAGCATAATGTGTAATGTGGTCCCTGAACTTTTAATTTGTTCAATGTGATTCCTAGACTTTTGATGCACGTTCAACGTAATTCTTGAACTATATGAAAATATTCATTATTGTCCTTCATATAGTTTAGGGACTAAATTAAACATGAGCCAAAACTCCATGGATTATATCGAACAAATCGAAAGTTCATGGACCACATTGCACATTTTGCTGCAGTTCAAGGATCACATTGAACAAATTAAAAGTTCATGGATCATATTGTATAGTGAGTCAAAGTTCATGGACTATTTGTGTCATTTTCTCTAATTGTAAGCCTAGCAAAGCAACAAAAAAAAAATGATGGTAGAGTTGCAATACTCGCCTTGCGAGTTTTGCTTTCCAAGCTCTGTACGTGAAGAAAAGCCCATTCCATACGGGCCGAAACGATCCGGGCCGGACCGGAAGATCTGATTCGGGCCGGGCCAGCGGAGGACCGAACAGGCTTCGCACCGATCGGCCACAGAGAAGTCGCGTGGTGGTGCGTTCCCGTTTCCTGTAGCTGCCCGCGAGAGAGCAAGAGCAAAGAAGCTCGTCGTCTTCACCCAAATCTCTCTCCTCCTCCTCCTCGCTCCCACCACGCGCCCCTCGCTCCGGCAAAGATGGCAGCTTCCATCTTGGCTCGCAAGTCTCTCCAGGCTCTTCGGGCCCGTCAGCTCGTAAGCTCTCACGGAACCCTAGCTTTTTCTCTTACTCCCTAGTTGTCTCGTTTCCCATAAGTTTGGTCGAGTGGGTCGTTCGATGCTTCGGACTTGACATTTACGCTGTTTTCGGCGGATCTAAAGATGGGTTGCTTCGTGTTCATCCGCCTGGTTTGGGTTACCCGAGAGGATTTGTGAGGGGTTTGGAGTTAGAATCGATCTTGTTTGCTGGTTGTGTTCATCGCGTGATGCCCTGTCGCTTCCCCCTCTCCTTTTGCTTTTGATTCCGACCGAAACGGGCATCAATTTGAAATTCTGCGAGGCCGGATGAATCTTTCTGTCCCTCCATTTGACTTAATTGCTGTGTTCTACAAACGCGCGGTTGGTTTTTTTTTTTTGTAGTGTAATCGAAATAACATGTTTATTGGACTGAAGATAGAGGGTGTTAATGAACTGGGTTTTTGTCCGAAAAGACGATTTCCAAAGAAGATGCCTAGTTGCTTCTTTCTTTCTTTCTCGCCATTTCTCGCGTTCAGCTGATTACCAAGAAGAAATGGCAAAGCTTGTCTGACGATGGCCTCAACAATGAGTATTATAGCACACGGAGGAAAACCCTGAAGCGGACAGATATCTTATTTGAACTAACTGAATGTTGCATTGGAAAATGTTCAAAGCTTTTACGTTCGAAATAACAACGTTATGATGAAAAGTGTCCTTTATTTGGACAAACATTTGCTCAATTCTGTTCGAAGAATTTAAGGTACATGTCATCTAGCAAAGTTATTGGAGAGAAAAGGTTGCATCTTCACTGTGCTTAGATCGGATCTATTATGCTTTGAAATGAGGATGTTGGAAGCTAAGTGCACATATATGCCGCTAAGGAATTAGGAAGAAGAGAGTGTGTCGATAGATACCCGGTGGCATTCTGATTTAGCTTTTAAAATGGATTTGAGATTGCTGCTGCCAACTAGAAGAATTAGGCACCATATCAAATTAGTGAATTAGGCAGGAGTCCTTTGTTATAGAATAAAAAAAACCTCAAATTGATCTTCATAAATTTTTTAAAAGCCAGCTAACAAACCATTGGACGACATGTAGGATGCCAGTGCAACATTTAATGACAACTAGTGTCCACATCAACAATTTCCATTAATTATCTAGATAGAAGGGCTGAATTGAATAAAAAAAGATTAGTTTAGTGACGACATTGAACCAAAAAATAGTTCAGGTATGACAGTGAATAATACGCAAAAGTTTAGGGATAATTTAGTGGTGTCTTCTTTACACCTAAGGGCCTAACCTGAATGTATGGTAAGAAAACCCTTTTTTTGCAGCTGCCAAATCTACAATTAGTTAGAGTTCAAAAAGGTAGTGAAAAATATTGGCCTGGTGGCACTGTCCAAATTTTATGCGGTTTAGTGTGGCTGTGTAAGTGGAGGTACCTGCAACTATTGGTTGGAACATTACTTTCTCTCATATATTTAAGAAAAGTTAATTGGGATTTCCATGGCCTTTACTTTGTTGTCGAATCTTTATTGCAACTGCTCTGTCTGCTTTAGAAGTTCATAAAAAGCATCTTTTCATTTTTTTGGAAGAAATGATGTGGAGGCTGTACAGCATGTTTGTGAAAAAGCAATTGGCGCTAGAGCTAGGGATACAGAATTAGGTAGTGCAACAGTTACCTGATTAAGATGTGATCTGGCTGCATGAGGTTCCTCCCTCTGTTAAGGGTTAGTTTATTTAAGTCGAGTTAGTTGTTTTGGTCAGTTGAATCTTGATTTATTTACTTTTATGTCAACAGGAAAAAGAAAAAAAGTTCCTCTTCATGACCCAAAGTGTCATAACTATATATCTTCTAGTTTTCTGCGATTACATGTAAAGATATCAGTGGTAGCTCTTTCGCATTTCCTAAGTATCCTATGGCCTGCATTCTTTCAGCTATCTTCTCCCTTGTAAGCAAGTTTCCTGTTTCTTTATTGTCTTGCCATTATCCTCTACTTTGTCTTTTGACATCTAATGGCTTGATGTTTCTTCTCTTGCCTTCACTATTCTAGGTTGTATCAGGGCAAGCATTGCAAAACTTTCAGCCCTATGGGCTTCGTGCCCAACCATGCTCGTATTCATCTAAGAAAGGTTTGCCTCCTCCATTTCCTAACAGGACAAATCCAAATTGTGATTTCCCAAATTTAATTACTTGCTAATTGATTTGTTATCTCTTGCATGTAGTTGCAAAAAAAAATTGAAAATAGATCTAGGGGAGCTTAGTGAAATAGTATACATATGTGGAATGTGCTCTAGAAATGTGCATATATAATTTTGTCTGATCCTCTTGCCCAAACTATTTTGTGTTAAGAACATGTAATTCCTTGCTTATGTTGTTGAGGAGTTCTTATGTTCGGGCATAATTGTTTGGTTGTGTGTTGCAGATGATGAAGAAAGAGAGCAACTTGCTAAGGAAATCTCCAAGGACTGGAGCTCTGGTAACTTTTCTTTTGGTTGCTGTTTGGTTCTAGGTCACTCTTTCCACAGGGTTAAGACTAATCCCATTATTAACTGTAGTTTTTGAGCGAAGCATCAATACATTATTTCTCACGGAAATGGTTCGAGGCCTGATGCTGACACTCAAATACTTCTTTGAACCGAAAGTGACAGTAAGCACCCTGTGTGGACTGAATTTTTAAGGATGAGATCATATTGGACTCTATATTGATACGTTTTGTATTTTCAGATCAACTATCCATTTGAGAAGGGACCTTTGAGCCCCCGATTTCGAGGTGAACATGCACTTCGAAGATATCCAACCGGAGAAGAACGTTGCATTGCCTGTAAACTTTGTGAAGCTGTAAGTTTGAAGTATCTCTATTGATTAAGAGAGTCTGGAACATTTGCAAAGTTGGCTGTAAGAGTTATTGGTTCTTCCTGCTTGGAAGAATGGGGCTATACTTTATTGCCTCTCTGTGGCAAAAGGAATTAACAAATGGACCTCTAGCCCTTTGCTGTTGATGCTGCTTTTTAGCGTTGTTTGTCTTAGCTAAAAATACCCGCATTTAATGTGTTTATTTACATATGCATTGTCTTATACTATTATGTTAATGCTGTAATGCAGCTAATTGTTGGTAGCCAGTTGGTTTTGTTTCTTATATTAAGTGGAATTTTGCTGACTGGTGTGGCCCTTTGGCCATCGATAATGATGTCTGTTGATGATTGATTGTGCCACACTAATTGAAAGCTATAATCTAGTACATAATCATTGCAGTAATAGTCTCGGCTGTCAGAAAAAAGAAATTTGTTTCTTTTACTTCCTGTATGGGAAAATGTAACGAATTATCACTGTCAGCTAACATTTACCGCCCGTGGTTTTGGTGGTTGTCTGATGCAATTGTGTGTTTTGCTTCCAGATATGTCCAGCTCAAGCAATTACCATAGAGGCTGAGGAACGAGAAGATGGAAGCCGCAGAACAACCAGGTGATGGATTGTTCTCCCTTATGCCTTCTCTCTCTCTCTCTCTCTCTCTCTCATATCTTTTAACACTGCAGGTATGACATTGACATGACAAAGTGCATCTACTGTGGATTCTGTCAAGAGGCATGCCCTGTTGACGCCATTGTCGAGGGACCTAACTTTGAGTTTGCTACTGAGACTCATGAGGTATAGGAGCAACTGTTACCTGATAAGAATTAGTAGTTGTATTCTATTTCTCTATGATCTCACTCTTTAAGTGTTCTATCTTTCTGCAGGAGCTTCTGTATGATAAGGAGAAGTTGCTCGAGAACGGAGACCGCTGGGAAACGGAAATTGCTGAGAATCTGAGATCTGAGAGTCTCTACCGTTGATGCCGTTTCCTGATTTAGCTTCAACTTATGCGGGTGTTTTTATGTGAAAATAAGGAGATCTATGTATAGGTCTTGAGGGAATCTATTTTTGGGCTATTTTACATTGCGAACGATCAAGAATTTTCCTGTATTACTCTTCTTCCTGCAGAGGCTGCTGCATCATGAGATGTTTGATAATTTGACCTTAATGTAAGGAAACATTTGGTCTCTGTACATTGGCTCTCAAGGCAAAAAGAAAATGTCGGTTTTAGAACTGATATCGAACGGCGCATTGAGATGTTTGTTAATGCATGTTGGTTTTGACTTTCATTGCGGTAACTGAAAACAGAGGTGGACGTGAAAAATGCTTCAGCTTGGGTGTGGCATTTGGTTTCCCCTCTTAAAAAAGATTAAGGGCCCGTTTGGTAACGTCGGCCTTGAATAGTGAAAATTTACATGTTATTTTGTTCGAGAAATAGTTTGGGAACGAGGAAATGCGTTTAGTAAACTTTTTGTTCCTGAGTACATTTTTACAAAAATTTGTGCCGAGAAACAGTTTTGGAAGAGAAGCGAAGTAAAAAAGTTCTTGCTTGGAAGCACAATTTGAGAATCAGTTTTTTTTTTCTTTTTCTTTTTTACTTTCTTATTTTTGTGGTATTTGTTATTTTTCCCTGTGAGCCGTAAGAGGTGAGGAGTCGCCCTCATACTCCAAAACATGGAATCAACAGGTTTTCACCAATTTCACCGATCCGGATCCAGTTCTTAGGTTCTTGGTTCCATGTTTTACTCTCGAACCATGCAACCACAGAACTGATGTACGTGCATTTCGTTGTTAATCCTCACACAATCTCTTCTAGGAACTTACTTGGATGGGGCCATACAAGAAGAATCAAGATTCAATGAGGAGTTCGGAGGCCACCCGTGCAGAGGTGTCTGAACGTTTATCCTATGTAATTCGTGGCCCACAGATTACTTCATCGCTCCCTGCTGTGCAGTGCAGCTCGGTCCCACCTCCCAATTCTCAGTCGTTCATCACTCACTCGGTGCCGTCGCGCGATACCACTCCCAATCGATCGGAGCAAAAGAAGCAGCCGCCAGCGTCCGTGATCATGGCCTCCCTCGCTTGGAATCACCGTCGCCGTCTGATTCAGTGCTTTCCCCGGCCGCCCCGTTCGGGTTCCGCCGCCGATTTCGGCCGCCGCCTCGTCCCCCCGTTGTACCCGAGCCGCGGAGTCCGGCGGTGGCTCGGCTCCGGAGGCGGCGGCTCGGCTCGGCCCGAGCTAGACGGGCGCAGCGCGTACGAGCTGCTGGGAGTGGCGGAGACCAGCTCGTTCGCCGAGATCAAGGCGTCGTTCCGCAGGTTGGCCAAGGAAACTCACCCCGACCTCGCCGGGTCGTCGAACGACGCCGAAACTTGTCGACGATTCGTTCAGATTCTTGCAGCTTACGAGGTATATTTGTTGATCGTCCGTTGGAACGAACATTTTGATTTTCGAGTGTTCCTGTTGGTTGTTTGGATATTTCATGGCATAATCGAAATTAGGCGGATCTTGCATTTCTTGAATTGTGGCAGAGAACGGTAGTTCTCCGGTTAGGTTTCACTATCTCTCTCTGTCAATTAGAAATTTGGAGCTAAAACTTCAAATCTCGAGCAATTCGGAAAAGTTGGGAATACTTTGTATTGACGTAAAAAAAAAGACGTTTCATCTAGAGGATATTAGCTGGAATAATTATTGGTGGGCTTCAATGTGAATCCCATTTCGGTTTTCGTCTCTGGTAATTGCGTACTTGGTCCATATGAACTCTAAACGTGTGGGAGATGTTAGCAATCGGTGCGCTCGCTGCATCGCAGGGCGTAGTGCAAGTCCTGAAATGAAATTTTACGATGCAATATAGACTTCATGGAACGCTTAAAGAAGAAAAAAGATCCTTTTTGCGCTGAAATTTCTGTGCATACGACAATGCCTTCTGGGCTTGTATGTTTTGTTTATCATGTCTTTGCTATCATCAAGCGTATTTCTGATCTAGAAATATCGTGACTGGAGATTTTCCATGGTTGTTGCCCTGTCGATGATGACTGTTGTTTATTTCTGCGATTGATGTAGAGGCTTGCCTGACTTTAAAGCATAATCGACCGTGAGTTGCAGATTCTCTCTGATGCTGGAAAGAGGGCCCATTACGATAGTTATCTTTTGACTCAGAAAAAGCTAGTACAGAAACTTTCGAAAGAGTATTCAGTTTCTTATATGTACAGATCGCATGCAACAGTATATAAGGAGATGGAAGTTGTTGAATGGTTGAAGTGGTATAGATATGCTATCAATGATATATTGTCAGAGAACAAAGTGGTCACAGGAACAGGCTATTTTGATATACTTGAAGGGGACTTCTATTCAGCAATACGTGCCGCATATTATGGTCCTTGGATTGATTCACTGGATCTTCTTCCCGACTGCTTTGAAGCCGAGGAGCGGTCTTTGCTTGAAACTCCGGAGGTATTGCACTTGGTTTCGGGCCGATATCTCTTTGGTATGGTCTGTCTGGTCAACAAGATTCCCGAATTATCATCTGCCTTCCATGAGAAGTTAAATTCTTATCAATCTGTGGGTCTTGGTGAGTGTTATATGAGAAATAATACAGACACTTCCATCAATTATGGAATGCAAGCAAATGCTGATATTTCTCAGACAGAGACCAGTTGTACAAATTATGCATCTGATGCATATAAAGACCTGGAGTTATATATATCTGGAAGAGTAGTGGCCAAAGCAACAAGATTACCTCCTCAAAGCTGTTGCAACGGAATCAGGAACGATGATGCTGATGATCGCATATATGTCTTTCTCAATTCACATAAGGACTGCATGGATAATAGCCAAGAGTATCTTTCCTCTATAAGCTGCGGAGTTGGGTCAACTCCACTGGGAACAATAGTAGGACTGGGGACCAGCCCAGAAGAAGGAACATGCTTCGTTTATGATAGCAGTGGCACGAAAACCCATGTGATAATGAAACACAGAACATTTCTGGTCTGTTTGCATCATCGGTTTGATTACAACCTAAAATTTAAACGCGTCCTTCATTGTAAAATTCTGTCCTTTTTTTCACCCTACTTTGGTTGATAAGATATATTCAGACTAATTTTTTGTCCTTGATGATCGAGCTCGTACTTGCAACTTCTTTTTTGTGCAAATTTTTTAAAGTTATCACATGCATGCAACAAATTTTTCATCGTCAAGGAGGCTGGTAGTGCTGTTGTAAATGCTCTAGACTACTAGTTCTTTTATGTCCTTTTTGACTTCCTCAAGTGACTAACTTGGAGAATTTTGATTGCATGTTCTTTCATGTCTTTATGACCAGTAATTTGAGATGAATGTGTATGGTCTTATTACATACTTAGACCTATTCACTTAGTTGGGGAGAGAGAGACAGAGAGAGATGCATATGGTTTTAAGTCTTTACATTTTTTAGATGCTCAGAGAACATGATTGATTCAGCATGCCTTGCGTGATAATTTAACACAAGTGTGGCTGGTTCTTGTCAGAAAATATGCATAGCATTTAAGATTTTGTCCTTGTAATGAATACTACGATGGATTGACCTTGGACTTTTGCAACAATAAAATTTCTTGCCTTTCACATCTTTGTTAAATTCTGGATGGTATGATCTATATTGAAGTCCCAGTCACTGGCTTTCCCACCATGCGGTAGCTCTTTCTACTGCAAACTTTACTTTGAGTGAATAGTTGTATTTTAGCTCGTTGACCAATCCATTGTCAATGTCTGTACTGTGGCCACGTAGACTTTTGCTAGAAAATCTGTACAAACTATAATCTGCACTTATTAAGTAGGTCTGTGGACTTAACTTATGCTTTCACTGATTTGTACACTTTAACAAAATTCAGTCACTATGTCTTATTTATATCTTTCTCAGGTGAAGCATATGCACTGGTATCAATGCGGAGATAAGATTTCCGTTTGTGAGTGCAGAAGTACTAGGGCCCGGCTACCCCCTAGCAAGTAAGATTTGTTGCTCATAATTAGTTTCTCAAGATCCCATGTTGAACTCTACCTATATTTTCCGTCCAAAAAAAAACTCTACCTATATTTATATAGCACGGTGTTTGTAGTCATTTGCAGTTAGTGCATAATCCTTGGATGAGTCCATCCTCTTCCTTGTTGATCATTAGCAATCTTATGATTTTGTAGGCTAAGTAATGCATGTGCATTTGAGTATGTTGCAATCTTTATGTATCCCATTCTTGCGTTTGCTCTAGAAATTCATTAAAACATCCTTTTAGGATTTTTTTTTTGAAGCTTGAAACTGATCCTAGTGTGCGTGGGACACTAGGACCATCTATTTTTCCTTTCCCAATTTAAGCTTGCATGTGTTGAAGGTGCTTTTGTTGAAGACGTACACAAGATTTGACCTGTATGATTAGTCCAAACATTAACATTGGCCTAGGTGGATTTGTTCTTGAGTCATTACAAAACTAGGGATGAAGAATGCATGTGGATTTCGTTGAAGATGTACACAAGATATCCTGTATTATTATTCAAGCCTCTTGTCGAGAGAGAGCTTTTTTCTCTTCTCTTCCGTGAATACGTCTTACTCTTCCCGATGCTTAGTCAGATTGACATCGATATCTCTGCCATGTCATTCTCAGACCTCCTTGGACACTTGAAATTAAAGACTAGAGTGTCATGTATAAGAGAGGAGGAAACACTTTGTCTAGAATTATGGTAGATGATCTCATTAATGTGGAGTAAGGTTGGGAACAGCAGTGGCAATGAAACAGAATAAATGTTTTATCTGGGGATTTTCATGAGGAAGAACTAAGAAGGAAATTTTGTGAAAAAGTTTATTCATTTATTATTTGGCGTAGTGTATTAGTTAGCAAATGCTTCGACTAGAGTGGTATTGGTCGAAATGGTCTGGTCTCTCTCTCTCTCTCTCTCTCTCTACATACATGATATATTAAAGTTGAAAAGGGACCAGGGAACATATTTTTCACTGACTAATTGGTTGAGCTCTGAACCGGAATCACAAAAGCAACTTCTCAAAAAATAATGCAGATTGATCAGGCATTTCTACTTTTTTCGGTTGATTCAGTATGACTTTATTTATTCTACACTATTCTACTCCTAATATCCCTGTTCTTTCTCAGGTTTTGGCTGTTTCAGCCAAGGTGTGCGATGCATGATATTGGGGGCTGGTATGTTGAAACATTTGGAAGAGATGAGAAAAGAAAAACAGTTCCATCCCAGAGGTACTGGGATGGTTCTGATGTGGAGGGACAATTTGACAAGTAAGTGCATGGCATGGATCCTGGAATCGCTAAACCTCACGTTTATTTTCTTTCTTTCTCAATGGTTGAAAAGCCATATCAGGGTTAACATTAGATACTGGTTTAAATACTTTTCTTTGTTAGTTTTCCCCCATTCCAGTGTAAATTATTGAACACCAAGAAAGGCCACAGATTGTTCTTTCCATTTCAACCATTGTTGATTTTGCTAACTTGCTTGCCGGCTTTAACTCCTCTAAGTAATAGATGTAAAGAGGCAGTGGTACTTGAAAGCTGGATATAAATGAAAGCTCGCTTCTGGTGAATTTGGAATTACTTTGAAAGTAATAAGCTGAATTCTCCTGTAAGGGTCTAGTAGCACAGAGTAAATCATCTATGCTATCCTATAAAGATGAGAAGCTGTACAATTAATGTTATCCCATGAAAGATCAATTACCCCTGTGTATGAAATGATAAAGTAGTGAGAAAAATTGAATACTTAACATCATTTTATGGCTGCTACCGAAAGATAGGGTTGACATGCGGGTCTTCATCTTGCATCTTTTCTGAACTTTTGGTTCGTCAGGAAATAAGAACTGTTCCCCCATTGTTGCCTCACAAGGAATTGGAAAATTTTCCCCCATTGCAATCAACTGGTCATGTATGTTCTCTTTTGAGATTAAAATATCAAACTCCAAAGGTAAATTGGATTTAATTTAGAGTTGTCTCAATGAGTTACCATCATTGAGGCTGGGATTTTGTATGTCTACAAGGGACTGGGAACCAAATGAAGAGCCGAATAGGGATTGTCACTTGATCTTTGAAGCGAATCCCAATTCTAAAGTGACCGACTTTAGGTGGGACAACTGAATTATATTTTTAAGGAGGCGCTAAAGATGTGTCCATTTGGAGTTCAATTGCCGTCTCTTTCTCTTGGAGAGTTCAAATTTGGCCTTTTGTTTTCTTGGGCTAGAGATGGTTTGTGAGGATTCATGTTTGTCCACAAACTTTCATGCTCTGTCATGCGCAAGTGTTCTTGAAGAGAGTTGAATGCTATTCTCTGGTTACTGCAAAGTCAATGCTTTTACACTATCCACCTGGTCTCTACAGTTAGATGCTAAAAGTTGATAGACTCCGTGTACCACAAAGTAACTGAAATAGGCTTGGCCCTGCATTTACTTGAAAGGTAGTCTTTGGTAAAGCAGGCGGAATGGGGCTAGACATCAAGCACTATTCATCCGCAAGCTTTTGCCTATACTGAACCTCTTTATCGCCCATATATTTAGGATAGCCAAATGAGAAGAAGGGTAAGATCATATGCTTGGCTTTTCAAGTGCAGGCAAAGAAAGAATTATTGGATAACTGTATTATACTCATTCTCTGTGCAGGAGACTCTACCCCGCTGTGTATCTGCTTGCTCTTGCTTATAGAACATTAGATATTGAAGATGTTAAGAGAAGGAAACAAACAGTCAGAGGTGTTGTGGAAGGACAACTCTCTTAGACTTCTCAGTTGGTGCAAGAAGCAGCCCAAAGTTCACTTTTGGGTCCTAAACCTCTCCTTGGATCAACATAAGCTACAAAGAGCAAGCTCTGCAATATTTTGGCCTAAAGAAGACACAGAACTGCTGGCTTGCTTTAGAAAGCTGACTGTTGGGATGTCAATCAATCTGATCCCAGTAGGGCAGCCTCTTGTGATCTGACAATGACGGTTGATCACTGCATGTCCATTTTGATGGAATAGATGTCAAAGGAGATTTGTATGATCGATGGATATCTGTAGGACATCTAAAGTGTCTTATGCCTGATACCATGCTAAAAGCAAAGTCAGACGAT